TACAGGAGTTAGGCTATGCGGGGACTTTAAGGTAACGTTAAACCAAGTTATCCAAACTGAACACTATCCTTTACCTCAACCCGAGGATATTTTTGCTTCATTATCTGTTTGTTCTGTGTTCTCTGTTATTGATTTACAGACAGCCTATCTTCAACTGGAGGTCGCTGAGGATTCACAGGAGTTGTTAACCTTGGCAACACATAAAGGATTATTTCGTCTTACTCGTTTGCCATATGGCCTATCCAGTGCACCTGCTTTGTTTCAGGCAGCTATTGATGAGATAATTAAAAATCTTCCCGGTACGGTAGCGTACCTTGATGATGTCTTGATTGGCGGACATTCATACCCTGAAGCAGTGTCTAGGTTGGAGCAAGTTCTTCAACGCTTCCAAGAATACGGAGTGAAGGTTAACAATAGTAAATGCAAATTTTTACAACCTGTTGTAGACTATTTAGGTTATAGGTTGTCGGCTGAAGGTATAAGTCCACGAGAAGGGCTAGTGGAAGCCATCAAGGATGCCCCGGAACCAGCAAGTAAGGAGGAGTTGAGATCATATATAGGACTCATTAATTACTATGGTAGATTTATTTCCAATCTCTCTGATAAGCTGAACTGTTTCTATGAGTTGTTGAAAAAGGATGTTCCTTTTGTTTGGTCTAGGAAATGTGCTGAAACTTTTAAACAGAGTAAACACTGGGTGTTATCTTCTGATATTCTTGTACATTATGATGTCAATAAGCCACTAGTGCTTACATGTGATGCAAGCCCTCGAGGCGTGGGGGCGGTGTTGTCCCATTTGATTGATGGCAAAGAGAGGCCTATTGCTTTCGCCTCTAAAACTCTAAGTCAAAGTGAGAAAAATTATTCTCAGCTTCATAGGGAAGCTCTAGCATTAGTATTTGGTGCTAAGAAATTTCATAAGTATATTTACGGGAGAAAACATGTCATATTACAGAGTGACCACCAGCCGTTGGCTACTATCTTTGGCTCAAAGCGAGGAACCCCAAGCCTAGCCGCAGCGCGCCTACAGAGATGGGCCCTGATTTTGGCTTCGTATGACTTCGAAGTGAGATATCGCAAGGCGTCTGATGTGCCACATGCCGATGCCTTATCCCGGTTGCCGTTACCGGCAAGTGATTCACTGGAACTGGAAAACAACTTTATCTCGCACACTCAGGAATGCGTGGAGGTACTAAACTGCTTCAGCACGGTGAGTACCGAATCACCTATCACTTCTAAGGAAATTGCTAAATTCACTGGTACTGATCCTATATTATCTAAAGTAAGAGATTATGTTTGGCACGGCTGGCATGGCGCTGTGGATAAAGAGTTATTGCCTTATGTAAAAAGGAAAGATGAACTTTCTGTGGATAGTAATTGTCTTCTGTGGGGGGCCCGTGTGGTCATTCCGACAAAATTGAGGAATCAAGTTTTAGAATTGCTTCATGATCAACATCCAGGCATTACACGGATGAAGCTGTTATCACGTAGCTATGTGTGGTGGCCCGGTATAGAACAAGGTATTGAAGAAACAGTGTCTTCTTGCTATATTTGTCAGTGTACGAGGAATGCAGCTCCAAAAGTCCCTCTCCAACAGTGGCCCCGTGTGTATGGCAGATGGCAACGGGTGCACATAGATTTCGCTGAAGATACTAATTCTAGGCAACAAATGTTAGTACTAGTAGACAGTTTTTCCAAGTGGATCGAGGTGTTTGTTATGAAATCTACTAGTTCTCTCAAGACCATTGAGCGTCTCCGTTCACTTTTTGCATCGTATGGGCTTCCGGACACTCTAGTATCTGATAATGGCCCTTCTTTTACAAGTTTTGAGTTCAAAGAATTCTTAAAGAAGAATGGAGTAAGGTTTGTCTTATCACCTCCTTATCATCCTGCGTCAAATGGTGCGGCCGAGCGGTGCGTTCAAGAAGTGAAGAAGAACCTGTTGAGTGAAGGTGGTACTGGTTCTCTGACTTTGCAACATAAACTTGATAACTTCCTAATGACATACAGAAATACACCTAACACTGTAACAGGACTTACCCCGGCAGAATTGTTTCTCAACTGGAAACCAAAAACTAGGCTTGCACTTCTCAAACCTAACCTCAACGCTCGTATTGACACGAACCTGGACAGACAGAAGGAGAGTTCGGATAGGCATAGGGGAAGGGCAAGATCCTATGAAGTTGGAGAGAAAGTGTTCGTCAAAACTGTCAGGCAGGAGAAAATTGATTGGGTACCTGGAAAAGTTCTGGAAGTAAAAAGTTCTGTAATATATCTTGTTAGTGTATTGGGAAAAGTTAGGCGTTGCCATGCTGACCACCTCAGGTCTAGAGTGAACATGGAAGAGGAGGGGATAGCAGTGCCAAGTTGTGAGCCAAGGTCTCCCATGAAACCAGTACTTCCTGAGCGAGGGGAAACTTCAGAGGACAAGGAGAGGCAACAAGTTTCGCCCAGGCGGCAATCTCCATTGAAGGACTCTGAGACTGCAGCGGTCCAGCCAAGACATGAAGACTCACCTGCGGTAGTGCAGTGCAGCCCGCCCAATCTTAGAAGGTCAAAAAGGACAATACAAAAGCCTGAAAAGCTAGACCTTTAAGCTATTCAGGCAGAAGTGAGAAGAGTTTATTTTAGTTTTATGAGAAGAAATTTTAAGTTGGAATCAAGGTTTAATTAATAAAAATGAAAAAAAAAGAAATTATTATGAAGAGAAAGTTTTATGTTGGAAGAGTATGTTATTTGTGGTCTTACATCAGTAGTGTGGGCCTAATCTAAATGGTGGCGAGTGTAATATAGTAGCAATAGGATCATATTAGATTATTAGTAACCGGAAACAGATTAAGTTACTGGGTGGCTGCACTGCCTACATCGGCGTGGAGCTCCCTGATTGGCTGCCGATCGGTCAAGGAGTTTTCCGTCTTGATGATCGTCACTTCAAGTCTAGCAAGGTGTGTAACTAGATGTCGCCATGTTGTCTTGTTCTTAATCTTAGTAGTTACTACTTTGTCTGAGACACATTAACTCACGGTATATAGGCTACTTGATCAATAGCGATATAGGCCTATTATCACAGTCACATTTTTTATGCATAGCCTATCAAATATATAGGCTCTATCACAGACGTTAAAATAAATAATAAGTATAGTTGTTCAGTTAAATAGATCAGGGGTAATAGTACTTGTTGTAATATGTAGTTCTACTTCATCAAATCCATTTCAATGCATCAAGCAAAAGAGCTGTAACCCCATGATTAACTTAGCCTAGGCTAGTCTAATAATATTTTAAGACATTTTTATTTTATGATATTAAAAACATTAGGCTACACTAAGCTAATGAAATCTTCCCAAACTTAGCCTACTCGGCTTTTTGACTGCCCTACCCGTCAATGAGGTTAAGGGTATAAGTTAGGCCTAACCTATACAAAATCCTGCCTTAATCTGAATGGGAAAACATTATTATTTGCAGATGATACAACGATGCTGTCCAGAACCTTTAGGATTATTACAGTTGTTCGGCATTTGGATCATTGCCGGCCAATCTTAAAGGATCTTAAGCTACATTCTGTACCGATGGTAGTTAGTATAATTTGAAATCAACAAATAACAAAATCATATTATTTAACCATTGGCTAGACTAAGATTAAGAAAGAGTGTCCAGCAGTTTAAAAGTTTTAGTTTGTAGGGTTGGTAGTGGTGATTGATAACCCATTTCAAGTTTTGTCAATTGTCAGTTAAGTTCACTGGAAAAATGGTCATCTAAAATGTGGTTGCTGTAGAAATTGTAAGTAGTTTTAATATTGTTTAGTAATAAGATTTTAGGAGATTTATTGTATATAGCATTTGTAGTAATCATTTTTGGGAAAAGATGTAAAGTAAATAATAGTTTTCAAATCAATTTTTAATGCTTTTTACAAGAAAAGAAAACAAGTAAAGTTTATACAGACCTGTCGAGTTTTGTTCTAGGAGAAGCACATTTTCACAAGGAGTTGTAAGGATCTTAAATCCACTTTTAATTATTAGAATTTGTAGAGAATAGTTTTTATTGGGTTTGTGTGATGTTTTCAGACAGAAATCAACCACATTGATATTGAGGTTGACTTCTTGTTCACCTTCTTATGCAGTGTTGCCAGGTGTACGATAATTATCGTATTTGTACGATTATTTTGCTCCTTCCCCATAAAAAATAATTTTGAAAAATTGTACGATAATTTTGACGTTGTGTACGATTTTTTGTCATAATGTACGATTATTTTTTGGGGGCTGGAAAATAAACTATTTCATATTGATTATTATACATTTAAACACGTTTCCCACTTTTAATATATGGAAAAACGGTAACATCACTTCGTTGCTGTTCGATCTGGCAACCTTGCAAAGGCATCAGCTGGATCAGCTGTGTTAGAGAGGGCCCATTGGCTACCAACTTAAGTGTTTATAGGAGAATTTTGAGAGAAGTTGGCCGCCATTTGTACTAGAGGTAGATTACGTTGTACCTTCAATTAATTATTGTACTCATTACATTGGCAGTAGGGGAATGAAATAAAGCAATGAGCTGGTTGATTTTTCCAGTTGAGACCGAAAATGCCATCATTTTACAGCGTTTCAATTTTTTTCTAGCAGAGATGCAGATTCCGCGTGTGTGTGTGATAGTGTGCTGCCTCCGGTAGAATTTATATTTTTCATTTTTCTAGCTCAGTGGTAGGCTAGTAGAGCAAAAACGGTGGGTGGCAGAGACAAATAGAGTAAAATTTCGGCCATTCCATCATCGACTTGCTTGTTTTACATTATAATAATATTATTATAAAATAAAATTGTGTGTACGATAATTTTGCCCCAAAAACGATAATTTTTGCCTGCTTGTACGATAATTTTCGCCGGCGAATCTGGCAACACTGTTCTTATGATTGGTCCAGTAGCTTTTGCACCACTTCTAGTTGCTTTGCATGGTATCTGCTAGTGCCAGTTCTGACCATTAAACCAGTGTCTCTGATTAAAGTAAGATCTTTCCACTATTTTATTATTTAGTAAAAGATTTGGGAGTAATAAGACCATAATGGATTTTATTTGGAAAGTGTATTTGGTGTAATTTGAGAACCATAAAATATATATGTATTTGGCCTACCTTGTCTTTTAATTTATCTCACTTCTACTACCAGCTTGAATTAGATTCATCCTAAATTGAAGTATACTACCTAATTGGCTACATGGTAGGGGTATAGTTTCCATTCCTGCAAATTTGTGTCGGCACAAATCTCCAAATTTGTAGGAATGGAAACATCCTGGCTCAAGTCGCGGCACAAATTTGTGCCCGCTGACTGTGCGACAAAACATGTGCCCGGGCCGCGGGCACATGTGCCTGCAACTCGTGCATGCAGCAGGTCCTCCAAACTACCGCATGCTCATAAATGACAGGTAATCATAACCTCAAATTTCGTTGAGTCCGTTGGAGGAAATTTTCGAAGCCACTTTGTATGCGCAAATCTCTCATCAATTGATTAAATGCACCTTCCAATGCTCTTTTAGCCAAAAAACTTCTTATCCACTATCTAGGTAGTTTTCTTCTAAGTTCATTGTATGCACCAGCCATAAATAAAAAAGCAGAGGCTGTTATGTCATCCATGGTGATTTGTAGAACACAATATAATCAAAATCAGCCACCGAACCTCACCACATCACAATAAAAGAGAACACTGCCTTGTCTACCAGTTGTAGTGGCGGGACTTGTGCCTGGAATGGAAACGGCATGACAAACTACGTGCGACATGTGCCTCGTCATGGTCACGACATGTGCCTCGACTTGTGCCTGCGACTTGTAGGAATGGAAATGTAGCTTAAGGGTACTCACGGCGTAGTGCTTGATATCCTGACCCTAGAAAAGATGACATGCAGGCAGTGGTGGATTTAGAACAGTCACAAGGGGGGGGGGACCAGGGTGTCTGAGAGGTTCGGGGGTACCCCCTCCCTCCCCAAAAATTTGTTTAAACTAAGTCTTCAAAAATGGCAGTTTTATACCATTTCTTTGTCCTAAGTTAGTGTGACAAATTATTTTACGCAATTTGTATGCACTACTGTATTAAATGCAGTCAAAAATATATGACATATATTTCCAAACTGCGACTGCCCCCCCCCCCTCTGGATCCGCCACTGGGGTGCAGGAGTACTATACCAGAAGAGCACAAAATATAGACTTTTCCTGCTGTCGTCTCAAACATACCTAGAATAGCTATCCTCGTTCTACTATTAACTACAATTCATAACTGCCTACTCATTTGCAGGAGATGGATGCACCCTCCTTCAGAAGGCGCTGAAAGGAATACTAATTATAGGCCGCTGTACTCCGTAGAAGAACTTAAGGAAGAGCACCTAGTGAGATAAGTGTATGTCTGCCATATCATCCGTTAAACAGCCAGGTTTTTGAAGGTATAGTTTATTATAAATATTATATATAGAGTTATTTATTAAATCACTTAATAATTTACTAGCTTCTGTGCCCGTGCTTCGCAACGGGAAGATGAACTATACCGCCTAATCCAAACAGTTGTTAAGTAGTCCGAATTTATGAACAAAAGCCACCAAATGTTGGCCTACTGTATAAAAAAAAATTATGACCAACATTGTAATTGCCCTACTGTTTACGTTAAAATATATCAATAACATAATATTCATTTTCATATTTGAGTTGTTTTGTCTCAAGATCAATGAACCAACTATAAAAGGTATCATTTGCCTCAGTACTGCCAGATTGATCCTGTTTAGTCCTTATGGATTACGGGTTTTAAGGACTTAAGTCCTCATCATGAGATCTTGTACAAGAACATTTAACACTGTAACTTCGAAAGGGTCATCAAGAGTTTAAATGCGAAACACGGACATGTACTATTTACAGTCATAGACGTTTTATGAACAAAACGAGTAGGCTTACTGACAAAAACTTACAATGTCCAACCCCAACCTCGTGCGCACAGTTGCAGATGAGGGTCATGACTGCGATGCGGAAGATGGTTGGGCGGTGGACTTTGTACAGCTCGGCTCCTTGTTCATCAGCTGATCTTGTTTTTTTATTAGAGTATCATACAAAGTGTTAGACTGTAAACTGATTTTGTCGTTTAATAATGTGTTAGCTTGAATTTTGATTGTTTTTTAAATTTCAAATTCTTCTAAAGCATCCATTCCTGTATATTGCTTTTACAATCAAAATAAACTACGCCATGGCTCGGTCCCCAGGTAGGCCTACTTATTTCAATTCAGGAAATTAAAACCTTTACAACTATTATTCAACAAAAACTTCTTTGCACTAACTTGATCAGGGAAATATAGGCCTAGACAAAATATAAAAGGTTTAATTTACCTGTTGCTGATCCTGTTAAAACTGTTAACAAGGGCAGGCCAAGACCATAAAGCACTTCATCCAAAAATAAAATTATTGCGCACCCCATACAGTTGATTTCTTGAAGTTACAAGTTCAGGCGTCCGATAAAAGCATGTAGCTTCCCAATAAGATCCTCCTCAGGAAGATATCTACCTCTTGCCACATTAACAAGAGTTATTCTTCTAGCAAGAAGAATAACTCTTGGTAATGTGGCAAGAGGTTAACATGTGTCTTTAACAAGCAATGAAAGCCCCTTAAAGCTTGAGTTTGTGTCGCACGTTTGTAGGCGGAATAAACCAGTTAAAAACTTTTAGTTAAGGGTACCTATGGTAATTTATTGTAAAATAAGACCTTTTTATTTGAAACTACCAACTACATCAACCCGCATAATTTGGTACCCCCGAGTATTTTAAAATTGTGACTTTCTTTACCAAGATTAAAATGTTTGTTTCAGGAAGAAAGATGTAGCCCCAGCTCTGGACAAAAATATTATGGAGAAGGTTGGCCGCTGTACAGGGCAGCTATAGTTATTATTATATGTTGCCTTTTATTGTTATGTACTGTTTTTATACTTTACCAATAAACCTTATATTTATCTAGAGCAGTTAATTTTGTTAAAATTCTTACCAGTAAACTTCTCTGTAATTTGTAAAGAAAACATGTAAAAATGATTATATATTTTATTTTGATCTTCTAACTATTTTGACAGTTTTATAGATAAAATATTCTTTTTTTAGATAAATTTTTTTATTGTTCTTGTTCGTACATGTCTCAGATAACTATACATAAAGATAAAATGATATTTATATTTGTATCATATATGCGAGTGCCAATCTTAAGAAGCAAAGTTAATATATAGCTAGTAAAATAAAATAATGTTGGTGTTTAATGACTAATGAGTGTACTGTAAAATTGAAATAAGTAATTCAAAAGTTGAAACAAAAACTCTATTTAGCCAACCCAATAAAATCACTCAAGAATTTTCCTCTGAATAAATGTTTGAACTTCATAGTCTAGAGGTGTTAGAGTTAGGTTAATGAGATATAAGACTGCTTAAGGGTGTTGCTCAACATGTAATGAACAAAATTAAATTAAGAAAAACAACAAAAGTAAAGCAAAAGAAAACTTTGAAAAGGCAAAGATCAACAATAATAAGATAAATAAATGTACAACGTTATAATTTACAAGAAAAGAAAATCAATTAAAAAGTTAAAAGAATAGTTACTGACAAACTATATGACTTGTTTGTTTTACAAAACTTTAGTTATATATTTTATTCTTTTTACATTTTGTTTATTGTCTCAGAAGCACATGCACCGATACACACACTCCGAAACTCTCGATCTTCTTGGTCCAGTGGCCCGTGGTGAACTCCTCGATTTGTTTCTTCAGCTCCGAGACTCCTCACCCCTCCATTTCCTTCATTAGCCCTTCTCATTGGCTGATTGGGTGTTTGACTTATAGGTTAACGATGTTTCTTGGAAGTCAGCCCTACCGGTCATCGCCTAGCTCACGTCAGCTGTGAAAGGAATTTGTAAATCGATACTCATGCTACTGTTCAACTCTCTTCACACCATCTGGTCAACTATAGTCCTCGCCACCCTAAGTTGAGGCAGCCAAAGGCCGCACTAGATATACGCCGTGCGGCCTTGGGCTGCCTCAACTTAGGGTGGCGAGGACTATAAGTGTAATGTAAACAGAGTATCTGCTTAGATGAGCACCGTGGTTACGGGGTTAATCCCCTTTCTTACAATGTAAATCTATGTTGTAAACTTCTTGACATACGAGAACTACTTTAAGGACAATTTATACTACGCGTACGCTCATTCTTCCCGTATTGGGGGCCTAAGACATTGAAAAAGGCTGTGCTGGTAAAAGCGACCAGAATACACAGTAAGACCGAAGACCCTAGTTGTTGCCGCACATAAAAATTATACTGGATATATAGCAGGTATGGATACAAAAATCATGGATGCTCAAACAGTGTCTTGCACAGCAGATCATTTTGAGAATGCCAGAGGTCTTGGCACAGATGTGCTGAATGTCTGGCCCAAAGCCCAAACGCATATGGCGAGTCAATAAGAATCTGGGAAATAGTCAATATCCAGAGAATTTTGTTAATGCCAACAATTTTTAACTTATTCTTGGTGGAATCAACCATTATCTTTGGTCAAGTCTTAGCTAAGACATCATTAAGAGACTGAGACGGTGGTGTCATCCTGTAATTCAGCTACTAAGGAGGTCACGAAATGTGGATATTTATAGGCATGTACTGTGGATGTGATACTTCCTGGTTTGAATTAACGCCCTTACTAGTGAGTACTACGACTATCCGCAGTACTATCCTGATAATTAGACCAATTTTTTTATACCTACCAAGGAAAAATGTGGTTCGGATTCTACTATAAACTGTAGGTCCCAATAGTTTCCATTAGCCCAAAGTATGGGCTATTAATTGACAGCTGTGTCTAAGGAATATGTCAGCCTTAGTCACTAACAAGGATACAAAATCGTGCCACTCATCTCCATGCATACTGGTACTTGGCTTAAAATACCTACTTTGTATGGTTGCCATTTCAAATTAAAGTATTAAGCCTAAGGCAAAATGACTCTGACTCATAATCATAGAGGGAAGCAACTTTCCACAAACAGATTTATATCGTCAGCGAACTAAGCAGGGATCTTGATAACTCTCTTGATGTCAATATCTATACTATTATATAAAAATCTAATGGTGTCTGTCTGTATGTGTGTTACAAATAGGTGCAAAAACTAATGAACCAACTGGGCTTAAATTTTACAAAAATATAGCTAATATACCAAGGACCATTATAGGACTATTCACATTTCGATACTGACCATAGGCTTTGCCCCTTTGGCTTTATAAGTTCTGAGGTGAACATTTTAAAAGTAAATATTGATTGGTCTCCATGGATGCAATTAGAACACTAATAATGTTTGTTTACATTTGCTTTGACATTTCAATGTAAACAAGAAGAACACTGCTAAATTGAATATTTCACAATTTCAGACAGCTGATACAGAAAAGTTAAATATAATATTTTCCATAACTACCTATGAGGTAGGTTTATTTTAATGTAGCGTTTTATCATGGATTATTTATTCTAAAACTGTCAATGATTATAGAAAAAAAAGGTTCTATAAACTGTTGCTGTAAAAACTCTGGCTCTGCTTTGGATTTTTTAAAGCGTCTCAGTTATGAAAATAATGTTTTCCTACAGTCACCCGACAAAGTTGGCTTCCCTGTACTGTTTATAGTACAGAAAGCTGCTAATTGTTGCATATTTATACTTTGCCGTACGGTTTATACTTTGCCGCACGGTTTATACTTTGCCGCACATCAGGATTCCAACCAAACAACACAAAACAGCGTGGTTTTATTATGCACGTAATCCGTGTACGCTTGGAAATAGGTTGGCAACACTTAAAGATAATAATACTATGAACAGCTGATTGACTATTATAACTACGATTTAACCTGTCATTTCGTGTTTATAGTTTTGGTATTTCTGAACTTTCTGGACTTTTCTTTTAAACGTTTTTAAAACATTCCTACGGTCTTAATAAACAAGAAAATACCTTTAAAGCATTTTTTTAGGCGCGGAAACCACTTCAAATTACAAAAACATACGGAACTATATTCTCAAAAGACGGAGCACATTTCTTGCCGAGGAAAAATAGCGGAGTGATACGGACCACGGGTACTACTTTCTCCAGGGCACCATTTGTGTAATTGTGTTGCTAGCTGAACCTAAAAACGTGTTGTATAGTGTTTGAAAGACTAATTATTTATGTTTTATAGTGACTGTAGGAAAAATATAATGTGTAACACGAGTGAAAAAGGCCTTTGCTGCACTCGAGATCATTCCACACTCGCCTGCGGCTCGTGCGTAAACATTGCTCTCGTGTGCAGCAAAGTGCCACTTTCACCACTAGTTACACAAATAACTATATTGATATGTTTTCATGGAAACAGTATAAAAATTACAAAGTATAGATGTTTTGTATGAATTTGGAGGCTACTTTAAATAAATTCGAACTGCTTAACATGTGTTAGATTAACTTAACAAAGAATAACATCAATAACTAAATTGTACGTCATTGATTTTTGTGTTCTAAAATCTGTTGTAGGCCTATATGTGTAACTATATTTAATTATCAAATGGTAATACAAAATACGCTTATTTTATCATAACATAGCTTTCAGTTCACATTTACTTTATTTGATAAATTTTTTATTTGTGTTTTGCCACACCACTGATTAAATTAAACCAAGAAAAATATCATAAAACTAAGCAGTACACAGTGTTCTTTTGTTTCTAAATCAATGAAATATCTGTTACTATGTTTACTTAATGGTAAGTGTGAAAATTTAAAGGCAATGGACGATGGAACTGATTAAAAGAACTGGTTTGTATATTAAGTTGTTTGTTGATATTTATGTAGAGTAGAATCAGAGATGCAATGAAAAATATAGGCCTAATGTACTGCATTTGCTATCATATTTTTTAGTCCTCGACGCTATGATAATCATATTAGTTTTGTCTGCTGTCTTTAATGCTAAATTATTTGTTTAAATTTTTTTATAGTATAACTTAGATATAGTTTCATTAATATTTCAAAAGACTGTATTGATAAGGCTCAACAATACTTCTAAAGTTTATAACAGCTGACTTAGTTTTGCTAATGATTTATAGTGAGTGAAGAAACTGAGGATGGAAGGATTTGTTATTTAATATGAAGAAGAGTGAAATAAAAAAAATCCATTTAAATTTAATAATTAGTATTTTTGCAATTTCAAAATTGAAATTTAAAATGTAAATTATAAATAAAAAGATATGTAATTAAGGGAGATGGAGGTAAATAGTATGTGAAAGTTCTATTCGAAGATTTGGTCAGTTTTTCTCACATCAGCCTACACAAGATTTAAAATTAATCAAAACCAAAATGGTGGTATCCACTACTTACCAGATTTAAAAGTCATAACTTAAACGTTTCTATTAAGGCCATAAAAGTTGAATTTTGTTTCTAAAAGTGTTGGCGGATGTGTAACTATTATATGCAACAGATGTAAAGATTAAAATGTTTCTATTTTGTGTCCTCTTCCCGTTGCAAAGCACGGGTACAACAGCTAGTATACAACTAAAAATATCTGTAAATTTCTTTTGATGTTTTCATGATATATATGCAATGCAATAACTTTTGAGTAACTTTAAGTAGTTTTTAAGTAACTTTTGAACATTAAAAATAGATGTTAACAACAAATTTTTCGATGAAACTCTTTACAAAAATCTGAAGGGCAGGTCCAGAATTGATGGCCTCTCAAGTCCGTAAATTGCATCTGTGATGTTTTTTAGTAAGTTCAACGCTAAATGATTATCAGTTAACTTAACTTATCCAATCAATAGTGTTAATTAATACTTATGAAGTCAAACGGAACGGAACGGGGTGAAGCCCGTGGGTAACTGCTAGCAGTCTAGTTGATATAAAACACGTTTTTAAAAATAATTCGTTTGATGCTTTAAATGCAAATGTTAGGCATTTGTTTTATGAGTTATTTAACTTTTCATACAACAGATCTAT